GGGCACACTTCTGAACAAAAATCTTCTTGCCTTTCTCAATATCACCCATATTTAATTCACTCTTTGGTTGCTGACAGTACCAAAGTTCCAAGCTGGAAGCTGGACGTCCTGCTCTCTCAGCATAGTTTTTGTTTGATTGAACAAGTAACCTATGAGAACAATCATAGAGGTTCATCACAGAACTAATACTGTATTTTCAAACATCTGCTAACTTTATGATCCTTACAGTCAAAATGGTGGTTAAGGTATATATCTCTAGCTATATGTTCATGAATACAGATACGGATCTCTATATAATGTATTTAATTACAGCTTAAGTCATTAAAGTAAGAATACTGAAGAAATACCAAAGGTCATGAACAATTATATCTAAATTTAAAAAATAAAATCCTTAAAGTTTATGTCAGCTTTATAAATTTCAAAGTATCTATGATTTTTACCTGGAATTTTCTGACATTTTGATCGCTTATGTTTATTTTGTTTGTAATATGTTATTTTTATAAAATGTTAATTAAAAGGGAATGCAGTGGTGTCTTTTGAAAGAAGAGGATGTCATTCCTCGTATCAGGGCAATGGAAGGTCGTAGAGGAAGACCACCAAATCCAGATAGACAGCGAGCAAGAGAGGAATCCAGGATGAGACGTCGAAAGGGTAGACCTCCAAATGTTGGCAGTGCTGAATTCTTAGATAACACAGATACCAAATTGCTAAGGAAACTGCAAGCTCAAGGTAAGAAACCATGTATCTGATGCTAATAATTATTAAAAAGTATACTAAAATTATTCTTACCTTTTTGACTTAGGAATGATTGACACTGCTTTCAATTTCTAAAATGTAGATATTTGTGTAAGAATAACATGAAAAAATAAGGAGTCCCACTGGTAACTGGAGTTCTTTGATTAATCCTTCAAGAACCATGGTCATAAACACATCCTACACTGTGTGTTTAGAATTACAAAAGTAGGTGTTAAGCTTTTACGGCTTGCAAAGAAAGGGAATCAACCAGTGCTTGGCACATGCCTTAAGGTTGTGCCAACCTTCTGGAAATTCTCATTTTAACAGCTCCCGATTCCTTGAGGTGGTACATGGGGATACCTCTAAAATATGTGGATCTGTGGAGTAAATTTTCAGTCAGAGAACTCCAATTACTGGTAAGTAACCCCAGTCTTTTAGTTTGGGTTCTCCTGTAGGCTGGATATGGTATATATATATTTGAAAGACCCAATTAAATGGATTTAATTTCAAAAGTATTTTAAGGTCACCAGAATATGTAATTTATCAAGCTCAAAGTGCTCATACCAACCTCAAATGTATTAATAATTTGAAATTATACATAAATTATACATAAAAATTTCCCATGATACAGCACAGAGAAGGCTGAGTAAAATGAAATGGTTCTGCTTTGCACTTTAAGATACTGATTACAAATATGAAGACTCTTAAGGCTGTCTGAATATACATATATCATCATATGTGTAGATAGCTTATGTTTGCAAGCGTATACGTAAAGACATATGACAATGTAAAATAAAGGTTTAATAATGAAAACTAACTTAGAAGAGAATTTTACTTCCTCGCATGAGCTTTTTACTATTTCTATATGTAAACGCCAAAATGTGAAGGAAATGCCTGAAAAATTTATTTCTATTTATTGTAAGCACTATGATAATATTGACTTCTTTATTACCACTTTGTTTTTATCATAGAACAAATATCCATGATAAAACCTCATAGAACAGAATGCTTTAAAACAGCAGTTCTCATCCTGTGGGTCATGACCCCTTTGGGGGTCTCCAGCATATCGGATATTTACATTGTGATTCATAACAGTAGCAAAATCACAGTTATGAAGTAGCAACAAAAATAATTTTATGGTTGGGGGTCACCACAAAATGAGGAACTGTATTAAAGGGTCATGGCATTAGGAAGGTTGAGAACCACTGGTTTAAAATAAGATATTCTCATCAGTAAAATATTTTTTTTTTGAAACAGAATCTTATTGTATCACCCTCGGTAGAGTGCAGTAGCGTCACAGCTCATAGCAACCTCAAGCTCTTGGGCTTAAGCAATTCTCTTGCCTCAGCCTCCCAAGTAGCTGGGATTATAGGCGCCTGCCACAATACCTGGCTATTTTTTTGATGCACTTGTCATTGTTGTTTAGCAGGCCTTGGCCGTTGGTGCATGTGGCTGGCGCCATAACTACTGTGCTACAGGGGCCAATCCTCATCAGTAAAATAATTAACAGGTTTTTGTTCATCTTTCCAGAAATGTGTGCACATTCATACAAACACATTCGAGCACTCACATGTACATATGTGTGCATATGGTCTTTTTGATTTCTAAAATAAATGGACTTGTAGTGTACGTGCTATTCAGCTTGCTCTTTTTCCACTCTTGAATATCTTTATATGTCAGCACTAACAAATCAACATCACTCTTTTAATGGCTGAATATTAAGTGATGCCACTAATGGCTTTACCATACTTCGTTTAATCAGTCTCTTTTTGATTTCTGTTTAAGCTACTCTGGATCTTTGACATCATGCTGTTGCAATCAGTATATATTGCACATATTTAAACATATTAGACCATTTTCAATTTTTGTTCCAATTCATACTTCAACTGATGGCGTGTAAATTAACTGCCTAGTACATAACTTAATAATGTAAGTTTTATGGCAAATTTAAATTTACCAAATTAACTGTATTTTTATTATAACAGAAGAGAAGTTCAAGTTTACCCAGTATTTCTCCTCAGGATTTCAAATTGATTTGTATTCAATTCCATAGTTCTCCCTTGTTGTATTAGTTTGAATCTTGCAACTTGTGTTACTTTTGATCTTATTGTGTTCATATGTTTTTTTTTTCATTGTACGTATAAGGATTAAAGAACAGTAAATAAATAATTATCAATATTTAGAGGTATATGGAATATAGATTACATGGTATTGGGAGGAGAAGAAAAGAGAGAATGAATCACTTTATCACCTCTTTCATTGCTAAAAGACCTCCACATCAACGGTTTGGGAGATTATCTGAGAAGATTCTAGAATTTTCTCTTATATATTATCATACTGTTAGTACTTAGCTAGACTGAAAGACTGGATTTAATTTGAAGAAGGATTCAGAGCAGTGAGATAAATGTGAGTTTTGAATGTATATCTAAACATTGTGAAAAGATTTCTCAGAGAGTACAGATAACAATCTGATAAGGGGGCCAGGCCCTATAATGCCAGCTCTCTGGAAGGCTGAGGCAGAAGGATTACTTGGGTGGTGCCTGTGGCTCAGTGGGTAGGGCACTGGCCCCATATACTGAGGGTGGCAGGTTCAAATCGGCCCCAGCTACACTGCAACAAAAAAATAGCCAGGCATTATGGGGGGTGAGGCAAGAGAATTGCCTAAGCCCAGGAGCAGGAGGTCGCTGTGAGCAGTGTGACGCCATGGCACTCTACTGAGGGCAACAAAGTAAAACTTTGTCTCTACAAAAAAAAAAAAAAAAAAAGGATTACTTGAGGCTAAGAGTTCCAGACCAACCTGGGCAACATAGTGAGAACCCATCTATACAAAAAATAGAAAAATAGCTAGGCATGGTGGCATACACCTGTAGTCTCAGCTACTTGGGAGGCTGAGGCTAGATGGTTCACTTGAGCCCACGAATTCAGAGTTACAGTAAGCTGTGATAATACCATTGCACTTCAGCCTGCACAATAGAGTGACCCTCTGTCTTTAAAAAAAAACAAAAAGAGGGAAGAAAAAAACTGAAAATGCTTGAATATGATAAACTTTCCACATATATAAATAAACTTGGTTATTAATTCGCCAATACTGTTAACATCTCAGATTTTCCAAAATACTGTGTAGAACCCCTTCATTTCATCTATCATAGAAACTGAGATGCTATATAAGTTATCTATATGATGCATCATTATTTTAACATGTAACACTACAAAGGAAAAGTATTGCCAATTGTTAGACACATTCTGATTTTAGAGATGTTAAAATGTTTAAAAATCAAAGAAAAAGGCTATGTCCAAAATATCTCTAATTTTGTGTGAAAATAAGCTTTATTTAACAAATAAACTTTTATCTTCAAAATTAAGACAATTTCTTAAACCTTAAAAGATATTTTTCAAATTAATATTTCAAAAATGAATTATAGCATAATAGATTTACAAACCATACAGCAAATAAATGAGAAGACACTAGAAATAGTTTATTCCTCAGAGTCTGGGTGAACTTTTCTAGGTCTGTAACTCATTTTCTTTCTTCCAGAGTGTCTCTAATTTTTTTTTTTTACATCTTCTCCAAACATTTACAATGTAAAATTTAAACTATATACAATTTTAATAATTAGTCAAAATTGTATATTCCTTGCTAAAATGAAAAGATTTGAGTTGAACTTTTAATGTTCTTTCTGTTCAAAAAATTGAAAAATAAAAATTACTGTGCCTTGTATGTGGTTTGAAATTGATTGATAAATGCATATCCAAATATACATTTATATATATTATAGAATTTCTTATTAAAAGTTCAACTTCTATGAGAAAACATCAATTTTGCTTGGAGCAATAGATCATCCTTATGCCACGTTTTCTAGAAAACATCATTTTAATTACTTAGCATATCTTTGTATTTTAAGACAGAGTTAGGCCTGAAGAGTGGAGTTCAAAACTTTCAATTCTTAAATGTTAGAAAAAAATTATCTGGCATTATTATAGATAAGAATGATATTCTTTGGGTGTGTTATTACCAGAGGTTGCTGACACTCTGGGTCATTTAATAGGTTTTTATTTCCCATAGTGTTGAATGATCAGGAGATCCTTTCTGTGTGATCCCAGAAACTTTGGGTAATCTATATAACCTAATATTGAAAATTACTAGAAAGTTGGAGATATACTTTATTGTCAGCTTCCATTTTATCATTCATTAATATGTCATTTTACTAGATAAACCTTTTACATCACTTCCTTCCTTTTTTAAAAAAATCTCAGTAATGGAAAATTAGCCATAGTAACCAATTTCATTTCAGCTATTACAAAGATATGAGGTTAAGTTTTTAACCTAAATCTCAAGGTATTCAAATTTTGCTTAAAGATTTCTAGAGATTATAGCATATAGACCATGGAGTCAGAAAGATGTGGGTTTTATATCTTAGCTCTGCTTTTTAACTTTTATAAGCCAAAAAAAAAAAGGCTCAGTGCCTGTGGCTCAAGCGGCTAAGGTGCCAGCCACATACACCAGAGCTGGGGGGTTCAAATCCCCAGCCCGGACCCGGCAAAACAACAATGACAGCTGCAACCAAAAAATAGTCAGGCGTTGTGGCGGGCGCCTGTGGTCCCAGCTACTTGGGAGGTGGAGGCAGGAGGTTGGAGGTTGCTGTGATCTGTAAAGCCACGGCACTCTACCCAGGGGGACAGCTTGAGGCTCTGTCTCAAAAAAAAAAAAAAATCAGTAACATTCTACATTATTTTTATTTAGAAGATTTAGTCCCTCTCTTCAATCATGAAAATATCATTGAACTCAGGAACTTAACTGTTAGTATTGCTGATTGAAATACTAAAGTTTGCAGGGGAGGAGATTTGTGTTTGTTTTATTTTGAGGTCTTTGTCTTTTTTACATATTTTCTTATTTTAAGAGTGACTGTTGGCTCGGCGCC